ATTATTTTTGATCATTCAGTGTCAAACATGAATGTCACGATATTTTCACGATAATCAGAGTTCTCTGGCAGGTGTAGCAGCCCCGTGGAAAGTGTATAGCAATTATATATCATATTCCATTGTGTTGAATCTAAATGAATGGATGGAGAAATTTTACAAAAGTTTCCTCATCATCTCCAAGCCCCATGCTATAATACTATCATGAATTTCAACAAAACACTGGTTTATCAATAGACACTATTTCCACCAGGAATCGTGGATATGGCCAGTGCTCAACACGGTCTTCTTGTATATGGGGGGTTGTTGACAAACTTTAGTTCGATGAAAATACAATGGTTTGAATTCTACGTAAACTCTACTTTCCGATTTTGAAACGAAATATAAATGGCACTAACGTACAGAAAAAAGCTGTGTTAATAATTCAAAACCATGAGAAATCAACATTGGCTGACCAATTATTTCAGTAATGATCATTTAGGAATACATCGAGAATTTAATCGGAAACATACAAAAAAATATTGAAATTGGAAAGATATAATTTCAGTAGGCAAACATTCAAAGATTCAGCAATAATGTAGACACACAACAACATGTTTGGATTCTTGTAACGGAAAAACAGATGACATTTTTTTTGAAATTTTTTTGACACCTAAACTGATACGAAAACTCTCACGAGTTTCTGTGGAAAATTTTATCTGGAGCAACTTCCTTTCGTACCGTACATATGAATTGATTTTCCTGAGCTGAATAGAAATGAACACAATCACATACAGAATACAGGGTGATTCTGTTACATCATGATATGGTATAATTGAACATAATTATGAGACAATCTGCTTCTTTGAAACTCTTTCACGAGGATGACATTGACATTTTTTCTACTCTCAATGTCAAAATGTCATGCTCTCCTATATTCCGACAAATAAGGTCACTTTCCAAAGCAGTTCTATGATCGATAATATTTTTTGAAATATTGATGATGATTTGACCATTCAATCATCTGTCTGACCACCAAGGAATAACAATAAGTTTTACTACAGGTACTCGAATAATTTTCAAGAGTTCATCAGCATACCCTGTATTGATAAAGAAGCTGAATTTTCAACTAATTTTTTATCAACCAGTTAGTCAAGCTTCAATGAAAAGAAAGTTAGGGAACTGACAGAATTCCAACATGGCTAATGGTCTGGCGAGTCGACCATTATTGCAATAAACATCGCTGGTGACGAAGTATTAGAAGCTTCTGAAAAACATACACACTGTACCGCAAAATTTCAGTATCTTTCTTGTGCCTTCGACACTGATAATCACAATATCTTGATGAGGAAAAACTCGAAGAATATCGTGTAAGATTCAATCAGTTGAACTCATTCATGTCTTATCTCACGAATAGAGAAGCTAGAGTCAAATGGCAAGACGGTGTATCTGGATTTGTAACAACAGAGCAAGGAGTACCTCAGGGATCAGTTTGAGGACCAGTACTACTCATAATTCATGTCAATGATCTGATGTTCAACTTAGTTCATGTTAGTGAAAGTATACATCTTATCGGGTATGCTGATGTCGTGTCTATAATCCACTGTGTCAAGGGATTCAAATTTGGAATGAGAGTAGCTATCTAACTCTGAATAATAAAGAGACTCAAGTTCAAGATCAGACTCAAGTTCAAGATCAGACTGAAACGTAGTACCTCTAGATGCAGGTCTGAATCTTCAGCCTCACATTGAACGATTATATGAGCGTCTAGCTATATATCAACATATATATTGAGGCAGCTGAAGATTGAACTGACTGATGAATATCTCAGGGTGTCACATTTCCCATCATTTCATGTAATAATGACATATGCCTCTACAAAAATCACCATTCACCAATAAAAAGTTATAATGATAATGACATATAACGTGTGTCTCATTTAAAACGGCCCCCCCACTATATCTCAGCTATCAGTCGTGCGATCGTTACCAAAGGACCCCGCACTTTTAGTACGTAAACTGGTTCTTGTTGAGATTTTCTGAATTTTCAGTATGTTGTAGAATTCGATGAACTGATTGAACCTGCAGAATCGTGAAGTTCTTTGATGAACAGATTCTGAGATACAGGGCGTTGAAGTTACAAATTGGTATTCTTCATTTAATTATTTTCTCGAAATTCAAGGATGCCAAGTACAATTTTTTTCGCTCATATCATTAATGAACCTCCATATTACTCAATATAATTCAGATGGTTCAGATGATGTAATTGTTTACAGAGTGAAACATATAAACATTTCAGTGATGTCTGAAAATTCGATGTAATAATGAAATATCGAAAAAATAATTTAGTCATGCAATATACTATTCTCATTCCATCATGAATCACAATTCATACATTTCATACAGGGTGATTTGAAAAATTGGTGACACCTAAGACCGATTTATTCATACACATCCTGTATATTCGAGTGAATTGTTAACCTCCCAAGATAGGTGATACCGTATGAACATGATTTCGTCGAGATATATAGGGTGATCATGAAGATTTTCGATGATGAAAATGACAAAAAATCGTGCTTTTTGAAATAACCCTGTTATGGGTGGCCAGGTAGCCGTGCGGACAGAGTGTCTATATTCTAATTCGCATTCGCTTGCCGGTCGTGGGTTCGATCCCCGTCGACTGCAGAAATTTTTCTGATGGCCCAAGAAAGTGTTTGGGATCACACGTTAAAAGGTAAGGCCCCCGTCATTCCTTGCTCGCACAAGACTTTCGAAGACTTTTGAGGGTTGCTCGTAAGGGGGCAACCGAATGACGGATGGAACAAATTTTGGAACAAAAAAAAAAAAAATTCATGATTAACTCGGTGAAATTCCCTAATTATTTTTTAATATATTCATCATTCGCTTCCTCAACGCTGTCTTGAAAATTCAGTTTCCTATCATGACGGGTGTCATAGTTATTAATTCAGGAACTTACCATTTGCATGAAGAGTTGAAGAGACTTGTTCACTTACATTCGCATAGTGGCCGATATTCTTCACAAATAGTGAAACGTGAGAATCTGGAGACGAAAATAAGTTTAGTATCCATATACAGGGTGAACATGAGGAATTCAATAACAATAGCAGATATATGAATTTAGTAATATTAATATAATGTACAGATAGTTAGGCGAATTTCGTTGGTATACATGCTCTGCCAAAATGAAAAACGAACAATACCTAGGAGATGGGAGAATGATTCGGTCTCTCACGCTTCCATTTCTAATAGGGAGAGTTGAATCCTGGAATCGAAATTCGCCTAACTATCTGTACATTATATTAATATTATTAAATTCATATATCTGCTATTGTTATTGAATTTCTCATGTTCACCCTGTATGTGAATACTAAACTTATTTTTGTCTCCAGATTCTCACGTTTCACTATTTGTGAAAAATATCGGCCACTATGCGAATGTAAGTGAACAAGTCTCTTCAACTCTTCATGCAAATGGTAAGTTCCTGAATTAATAACTATGACACCCGTCATGATAGGGAACTGAATTTTCAAGACAGCGTTGAGGAGCGAATGATGAATATATTAAAAAATAATTAGGGAATTTCACCGAGTTAATCATGAATAACAGGGTGATTTCAAAAAGCACAATTTTTTGTCATTTTCATCATCGAAAATCTTCATGGTCACCCTATATATCTCAACGAAATCATGTTCATACGGTATCACCTATCATGGGAGGTTAACAATTCACTCGAATATACAGTGTGTATGAATAAATCGATCTTAGGTGTCACCAATTTTTCAAATCACCCTGTATGAAATGTATGAATTGTGATTCATGATGGAATGAGAATAGTATATTGCATGACTAAATTATTTTTTCGATATTTCATTATTACATCGAATTTTCAGACATCACTGAAATGTTTATATGTTTCACTCTGTAAACAATTACATCATCTGAACCATCTGAATTATGTTGAGTAATATGAAGGTTCAATAATGATATGAGCGAAGAAAATTGTACTCGGCATCTTTGAATTTCGAGAAAATAATTAAATGAAAAATACCGATTTGTAACTTCAACGCCCTGTATCTCAGAATCTGTTCATCAAAGAACTTTACGATTCTGCAGGTTCAATCAGTTCATCAAATTCTACAACATACTGAAAATTCAGAAGATTTCACCGAGAACCATTTTACGTACTAAAAGTGCGGGGTCCTTCGTATCGATATGAATATTAATTGAATAATAATCAATATAATCAGTTCTTCGAAGACAAACATCATTTTTAACAGTGCCGTGCATTTTTATTGAAATGAATAGGGGTCAGTTCTTTATTAAATCATATCAGACATTTTTTCACAGGTGACCTGACCTCATAATATTGTTCTTCAGGGTTTCAGGAAAACAGGCGCATCTGAACAGCATTTTTGCGAACCTAATAAATACTTACTCGGAAACGGTGTGAGTATAACATAAAAAAATATAACTCGTTTTAACTTCCAAATCATGATTTTCCACCTATCGGAGCCATTGAACTTTCCAAAGTTGACATCGAAACAGGTTGGAAAGAATCTGATTTTCTTTTTCTCCAGCGGTTTTTGTAAATGACAATACTTTGGTAGAATCCGCCATTTTGTTTTTGTTCATCATGAAATTTTCGAATATTCCTCTGTATACTATAGCACTTTAGCTATGAAACAACGCAAAGAAATTCGGATTCGGTTGAGAAATGATGAAACCAAGAGGAAAATAAAAACTCCCGGTTTTTTTGTGACCACCCGATATATCTTTCCTATCAACTAGTATCCCAAATATATTATGTCTCATTATTATCATCTGATTTTATCCATTGATTGACGAATGTATAGAAACTACCGTGTAGTAGTATTTTCAACGAATGGGTTACAGCACACAAAGAACATTTCAATATTGTTGAAATAACTCAAGTCTGGCGGTCGCTATTGCTTTCGGTCTAATTCACATTCAGAAATACTCAAAGCAAGATAGATTTCCACTTACCGATAAAAAACCAAGTATATTGTCTGCCGTATAAATTTTGTTTGTATAGTTCACAGAGCACTCTTCTCGCAGCCACCACATAAAAAAGTCCAACGATTACTCTGGCATCTTGCCTTCTGAGATTTCTTACTGCGTCTGTTGGGTCCGAGAGAAACGACTGTCGTGTTACGATCTCGATTCCTGAAATAATGATAAATCAATTATCGAATGTTGACGAAAGGGCGAGAGAGACTGCGGGAGATTCATTGAGATCAATGTCATTCATGGAAGCGAGGCTATAGACATTATGAACCCGTTGTATCATATACAGGTGTTTGTTATTACTAAAATCTAACCTAATGAGTTGGTGTACCTAAAACCAATGCGTATGACTCGAGACCTGTTGTATGGATTGATGGTTTGATTTTCAGGTAGAGGAACTGAGCTCTCCAATAATATAATTGATTCCGATTTCTTGGGTTTCTGTTCTTGTTTCGTCACCGCCCATCTATATATCAGTCATAGATTTTTAGTGTATATAATGTATCTTTTGGTGATCTCTTTTTTCGAACCTCGTGCATCGATCATCTGCAAAACGACATCTTGATGCAGTACAGCTTCTAGACTATACCGTCAAACCTTAGTGACTCTGCAACTTAGTGAGAAAATCACAGCTCGATTGATTGCATTATTCAATTCTTCTCTCAACAACAATTCGTTCGTATAAAACAAGTGCAACCAAATCGAACGAGTATTACTAGTCAGTACAAGGCAACATTCATACAGTCTTCTCCACAAAGATCATAGATGTAAGCCATCCAAAGGGACATATTCCGAAGCTTCAAAGCATTCAGTAACACAGGAGCACTGAAAAGAAAAATAAAGCGAAATATGAGACAAAACCCTTCAACATCAACAGTTCTAATGAATTCACCTCTTATGTAGGAGAAAAATTAGGTTCACATACATCATATATATCGTTCATGTGATTTCCAAGCTCTTCCTTTCCCTTCGATGAAATCTTTACATCCTGTATACGGTATTAATCTCAAGGTACGTAACAAAGAGCGATTCAGGTTTCTGGCTGTTTGATTTGTACTTAAATGACTAAATAGCATTTGAAATTGAGAAATAAAAAACATAATGGAACAAATTGAGCAAAGCAGGGTCTTTTTCTTCTAACAACACACCCACAACAATACATTTTTAATGATAAAAGGTTTTTTGGGACTAAAGGTGTACTGATATCTCTGTACCCAACCACATCAATCATCCAAGATGGCGCCGACTGGTAGGACGCAAGAAAGTGTAGCTCCCTCAAAAGTATGTAAAAAGTGCAAAACGGTTGCCCTAAGTGGTCCAAAATGTTCGAAGTGCGATACTGTTAGTCATAACAGTTGCGTAAGGAATATGAAAAATGTGATTAAAACCGGGAACAATGAAATAATTTGTTGTGCAAGTGATCAAACTGTGTCAGATGGTGATATGGACTTTTTTGATGCAATTGACAAAAACCAATTGAATAAGGTAGACTCCCAATTAATTGGATATATTATCAAGCAAAAAGATGTCTTGATTAAGGAACTCTACGACAAAATTTTTATCCTGAAAAAACAAATAGAATTGATGAACGAAACAAAGACCTTGAAGTCTAGCTTGCTATCGGTCGAAGACAAAAACGTAAAAAATGTAGGAGAAAAACCTGTGGCCTCCAGTGGAACAGAAAAACAGGTGAATCCTAAATCTGATCAAAACAAAGGGAATCCCCAGACAACTATAAAAACAGTATCAGCTGGTTTATTGGAAACGCAGACGAAAGTGACTATGGATAAATATATTCATATACAGGACGAAGCACATTGCTCAAATGAAACGAAATCTACTTAGCCGCAGAAGGACTGGACATTGGTCGAAAATAAGAAAAATAAATATAGTAGTAAACCAAGAACGAATACTACTAGTAACAACATCGTAGTTGGGAAAAATACGAACGCTTCAAATTCTCTGAAAGGTGTTCCCAAACAAGTAGACCTGCATGTTTACAGGGTAGCACCCAACACGGACGTTGAAACCATCTCAGACTTTCTGAAAAGCAGTTTTCCTGAAGTATCTTGTGAAGCTCTAGTCCCAAGGTATCCTGATCTGTACTCATCCTTCAAAGTACGAATTTATGAGAAACACCTTGAAAGGGCTATGGACCCTTTGGTGTGGCCAGAAGATGCATGCGTGAAGCCTTTTTTATACCGGAGATCGAACAACAGGATCAATTTGCCGGTAAATCGAAGAACAACATAACTGTAATGAACTGTTTCAAAAATGTTTTGAAGAAAGACACGATCAATCTATTCCACATGAATGTGCAAGGTCTTGCCAACAAGGTAGATGAAATTAATTTATTTTTATCAGATTATAATATTAATATCTTTTGTATCTCGGAACATTGGTAATCAGAGCCTATTTTGAAAACTATCAATATCAATGATTTTTCCCTTGCAACTTCTTTCTGTAGAAAGTTCCATGACAGAGGTGGAGTTTGCATTTTTGCCAAAAATTCTATTACTCTCAAAAAAATATCAGTTTCAAAATATTGCAATGAATTACAATCTGAATTTTGTGCGATTAAAATACCAGATTCGAAGATTATTGTCGTGGTTACATATAGATCACCTGGTTCTAGTGACCTTCAGAAATATTTCAATGATATTGAAAATGTCCTGACAGATCTGTCACGTAGCAGATTTAAAATTATACTGGTTGGAGATTTCAATTTGAACTTCAAGATTCAGTCAGTGCATTAGACACAATTTTTGGACTTGTGTAGTTCATTTGGCATGATTCCAACCATTTGGGAATTTACTAGAGTAACTGAGCATTCGGCAACCTGCATAGATAATATTATCACAAATATCGATGAGAAAGATAGACAGGTTGGAGTTTACGAACCATCCATAGCTGATCATAAGGGACAATACCTAACACTCGAAAAAATAGTGAATTATAATACCATCCTCGTAAATAAAAGAATCGTGACTGATAATGGTTTGCGGAAATTCAAAACAGCTATTGACAATATCGATTGGTCAAATTTTTTTGATAATGATCATGATGTTAATAATATGACTAATTGGTTGATTGATGAATACAAAAGTATAGTTGCAAATTGTTTTCCCCTGAGAACGTGTCATTCTAATATCCGTCCACCTGTTAAGTGGTTTAGTCAAGAACTAATAAACGAAAGGAACACTTTGTCAACCCTGAAAATAATATGTGAAGTAGATAATGATCCTACGAAGTGGCAACTCTATAAGAATTTGAAAAAAGATTATAACAAATCAGTTGTGATGAGTAAAAAAACAGCATATGATTCATTTATACTGAACTCTAACAACTCTAACAACATGCATAAAGCAAGTTGGGAAGTTGTGAATTTTGAAAGGAATAAAAAAGCTGTCCCAAAAATTGGTGATTCAATAAATGCAGAAGATTTCAATATTTTTTTCAATACAATGGCTGATAAAATAATTAAAAACATTCCACTTATTTCTAGTAGTAGTTCCGACTACTTAAAATCAGTCCCTCCTGTATATTGTAATTTTTTCCTGTACAAGACGAACATTTCTGAGGTTCGCCAAGTAATACAGAAGCTGAAAAAATCATCCTCGACAGATTGCTATGGCTTGAATGATACGTTCCTGAAAGAATCATTAGACAGCTTAGTGGAACCACTCACGATCTTGATGAATGATTGCTTCTCTCAAGGTATATTCCCTAGTGCCTTTAAAATTGCGAAAGTTGTACCCATACATAAAAAAGATGATGCTTGCGAAATTGATAATTATCGGCCAATATCTATAATTGTAATTTTTGCTAAAGTAATTGAGATACTATTGAAAGTCAGATTATTGGATTATTTCGAGAAATTCAAACTTTCTCACCCAGCACAATTTGGCTTTCGAAATAATAAATCTACAACAAAAGCACTCCTCGAGATCTTGGAAAGCATAGTCGAGGATTTGGAAGGCCACGAACATTCGTTATTGACCATGTGTGACCTCTCGAAAGCATTCGACTGTGTTTCCCATGAGCTCTTGTTAGAAAAACTTGAATTTTATGGCATAAGAGGCACGCCATTGAAATTATTCGAGTCTTATTTGAACGATAGAAAACAATATGTCTACTTATCCAATGATTCTGAATCTGAGATGAAAAATATTATACATGGTGTTCCCCAAGGATCTGTTTTGGGGCCACTGCTTTTTATAATATACATAAATGACCTATGCTTCCATATGATGACAAAGTGTGATATTGTCCTCTTCGCGGATGATACGTCTTTTATTACTTCCAATAACGACATTTCACTCCTTCTTGAATGTCCGAAGCAGAAGAATGGTTTTCTGCAAATAATCTTCAATTGAACAGGGGAAAATCTCAAAACCTAGTTATTTCAAGTTATAACCAAATTACGGTAGGTAATCACTATAAATTGCTCGGGGTTGTAATAGATGATTGTCTGAATTGGACACACCACATAGACAGACTTAGTACTAGGCTGTCCAGTATATTATTCTTACTCAGACAACTTAGTCGATGCCTGAACCCGAATATGTTGAGAAATATATATTTCGGTCTTTTCCATTCTTTGATTAGCTATGGTACGGTTTTATGGGGTAACTCAGTTAACTCTGTAAAAATATTCAAACAACAGGAACGAGCAATAAGAATATTGACTGGAGCTGGATATAAGGAACATTGTCAACCACTCTTCAGAAAGTTAGGGATTTTACCTCTTCCTTGTATCTATATCCTACATAATACAACAGAAATTCATTCCAGAAGAATGAGCATCCCAAAAATATCTAGCCAACATCATCACAACACACGTTCCGCTACTGCTGACGGTTTACTTGTGCCACGTTACAGATTGGTAAAATCTGAAAAAAACTCCTTGAACTTCAGAATTTATAATAAATAACCTAGCCAAATTAAATCTATGAACGAGAAATGTTTCAAAATGAATGTGAAAAAAATACTTCTCAATCATTGTTTCTATTCTGTTGTTGAATATATTCAAACATCTCTTTTTTGACCCCACCTTGTCATTCGCTTTCTTCGATTTAATCTTGCTTTGATTTTAGTTACCTACTATACATATTGTTTGTACTATACATGTCTATAATTAGTATGTCTGATCTGTATGTTTTAT